CTAGGGTTAGATTGCTTATAAATCATTTCTCCAATTTTGAACATGACATTCTTATTCACAAAAACTAATAAATTGTAATAACTAGCAGCCTTTTCAGTATGGTGCAATAGCTCATCTTCAGGTATTCCTTTCCCATAATAGTACATTTCTGCCAAGTAATACATTGCTTCGTTTTTCAAGTCTTGATTGTCCTTAGTATTTATACAATATTCGAATACTTCAGTGCAATACTTGAATGATTTCTGATAGTCTGGGTTTGTTCCCTCCCAACCTTTAAAATACATTCTTCCCATTCCAAGTTTACAATCCATCAACCTTTCATTTTCTTGATACATTTTAAAAGCTTTTTGTGGGTCTTTTTGTGTTCCAATACCTTCTTCGTAACAATAGGCATGATATGAAATGGTGTTGGATTTTGAATAGTATTCAAAGGCTTTTCTTGGATCTTTTTGTACTGTTGTAGAACCATTCATATAGAGATTTCCCAAATATGTGTTGGATAGTGGAGTGTCTGACTTTTTCAACCACTCCACTGCTTTCAAATAATCGTTACAATTCAAGCAAAGGAGCCCATATTCTTGTTGGCATAACTTGTTATCCTTTTCAGCACCCAATAAGAATGCTTCATTCATTCTTCTTTCGATTAAAGGGTCTTTCTTCTTATACTTTGGTTGTTTGGAAAAACGCGTTTTGTAAATTATTCCTAAATTGTAAAATGCTTGTCCATTGCGAGACCTTTCAAATAATGAAATAGCCTTATCCCAATCTTTTTTTACACAACCTCCTTCCTTGTAGCAAACACCCAAGCTGTTCAGATAACTTGCATTGTTGGGATCCAATTCTAAAGCTCTATTCAAATCTTCAATTGCCTTTTCATAATTCTTTAATTTTTTAAATGTGAGGTATCTCTGATGGAGAAAAATGCTTTTTGTTGGGTCACTTTCAATAATTTGATTCAAAATCAACAGTGCTTTTTCGTATTCTTTTTCTGTATAGAAGCTCTTTGCTCTTCCAAATTCTGTTATTTTGACTTCATAGGGTGTGAGAATTCTGATAATCTCTCCTGATGTTATTCTTGAATTAGGATCATGTTTACACATAGATGCCACTATCTCTATAAGTTGTTGAGAGTATT